ACAGCGATCCCCTTGCCTTAGCCATCCAAGTGCTGTGATTACAGATATGCACCACCATGCTTGGCTCTTGTTCAGTTTTTTTTTTTTTTTTTTTTTTTTTTTGTACAGGGGATCGAACTTGGGTCCTTGTGCTTGCGAGGCAGGTACCAGAACCACTGAGCTAAAAATCCCCTGCCCTTGTGTTCAGTGTTTTTGAGGGACTTGATTTGAACTTTTTTGTGTGTGGTGCTAGGAATGGAATCTACTAAGCACTAACTCTAACCTAAGCAGACAAACTTTTCTGTTTGAAGCAAAGTTTCTGTTTCCTAATTCCTTGGTAAACTGTTTTTAAAATCTTACTTTTTGGGGGGAGCTTTGAGCCAGGGTATCACTATGTAGTTGAGACTGACCTGGAACTCACTATGTAGCCCAGGCTGGTCTCGAACTCACAGCAATCCTCCTGCCTCAGCCTTCCGAGTGCTGGGATTACAGGCATGCACCACCACGCCCGGCTAAAATCTTACTTTTATAAGTAAGTCTGCAATTTGTAACAGATACATTTCACAAATGGTTAAATCAACTTTAAAAAAAAGAACAAAGATGGACCTATTAAGACATTTTATAAAACTACTGTAACAAGAACAGTAAGGTTCTGTCATACAAGAATAAGCAAATAGAGTAATGGAACAAATTAGATCACTCAAGACAAACCTAGATAGGTGAGGGAAATGGAAATTAGATGAGGTACCACAAATCAATAGAGACAACAGACTGTTTAGGAGGTGGCACCGGGAAAACTGCCCACTACATGAAGAAAACCCAGAACCTACCTTATACCACATTCAAAAGTGGTCTGTAAATGAATTAAAGACCTGAATGCAAAAGGTAAAACAATAGAGTAAAATAATCTATGTGATCTGGGGCAGGAAAAGAAAAGATTCTGAAAGTACAAATTACAAACCAAAAAAGTAGTGACTTCAGCACATCAAAATAAGAACAAGTATCCATCCTTAGGGGAATCATTAAGTAAACTACAGCAGGAATACCCATGGGGACTCAGCAGCAATTAGAGACAAAGCACTAATATATACATGGCAATACATGCAAAACTTATAAATACAAAGTTCAGGACCCAGAATAAGACTGTAGTACTATGCTGTATAAATTGAAAACACACTTACCTAGTTTAGAAGGATACACATCAATCGCCAGAGTAGTTACCCACAGAGGTAAAAATTGAGAACAAAAATGAAAAATACAGCAAGAGGAAGGCTTGTACTGACTGACCTATGATAAAGACCTACTTTGAACTGAAAAGCATAACTCAAACATCTGCACTTCTGGTCCTTTAAAAGCCAAAAGCAAGCCAGTAGCCTTACTTGGTAGTAAGCCTGAGGCATGTACGTCACCTATTCAAACTTGGATATGGCCACAGAGCACTTTTGGTGAAACAACCAAAAATGAAATGTCTTCCAAAAGACATTTTAAATGAAGGTCAAGACTGACATGCCGGGCGTGGTGGCGCACGCCTGTAATCCCAGCACTCGGGAGGCTGAGGCAGGAGGATCACTATGAGTTCAAAACCAGCCTGGGATACACAGTGAGTTCCAGGTCAGTCTCAACTACACAGTGAGACCCTGGCTCAAAAAAACAAAAAACAAACAAACAAAAGACTGACTAACCCCATATGAGGATCCTATCTCAAATTTGGGTTCACCTCCTAGAAAAAATATAATTCTACATTTTAAAAAGGGGTAGTGTTGGGCATGCCTATAATTCCAGCACTTGGGAGGCTGAGACAGGAGGATTGCTTGAGCCCAGGAGTTTGAAGCTAGTCTAGGCAACACAGCAAGACCTCATCTCAAAACAAAAACAAAAACTCTGTTAAGTATCTCTTCCAAGACAAATATGCCAACTGTAGCCCACTTAGTCCCTGGAATCTCCCAATATCTGACCTGGCTTGCCCCACATGGTACTGGCCAAATCCCTGACTCTGTCTGATAGTGCCACTCCTCCTCATCTCTCAAACCCAAGGCTATAGCCCTGACATCTCTGCTTCTCCTGCAGTGGTTACCTTCACTTTGGTGAATGGCTCCACATACCTATCCCATCACTCAAGCCGGAAGCCTGGGCCTCAGCCTCCGCCCCCATTCTCCTCTTTTTCTTGATCCCTCCCCACCCTCGCATCCAACCATGGCACTCTTCAAACTGTCATCACCTGTAAAGTGCATGGTCTCCCCTTTGAGACAGAGTACCAAGAATCTTTCTCATTCATCACTGTACTCTTGGAGTGGAGCACAGGTCCTGGCTCGCAACAGGTGACAAATACATATGTGTTACAAAGAAAGAACTCATCTGCCGCGTACTTTTCTCTGCCCAGACACCCACTCTCAGCACATTTCCGGTCAGTTCTCACACGAGACAAGCCTAGGCATATGCGAGAGGTAGAAGCAGACAACTTACCGTCGTTCATACTCCATGTCCTGATAGGCCCTACGGGGGCTGCTGGGGCCCCTTCTCAGCCGCTGGCTCCGTTTCACTTCCCAGCCACCCCCGCTGCTGCCACCATGATCTGCCAGCCTGGGTGATGCCTCCCGCAGTGATTCTGGGGAAAGCAGAAGAAAGAAAGGGTTCAGGGCAGCTGGGGCAGAGAAGGCCACCTTGCGAGACTATCCTTGTCGAGGATCTTTGCTGACTCTTACCCAGGGACTGTTTCCCAACTCCTAGTGTTCCTGTGTGGAGCAGGCAGGCAGCCTCTACTTGGCCTGCTCCTTCCTGTTCCCACAAACATGAGTCGAGAGCCCACTGCCCTAGGAAACAGCAAAGCCGTCATCACACAGGGGGCATCTTGGGAGAGACCTCATGGCACCCATTGTGGGATCAAGATTTTGCCACTTGAGACTGGTAGACAAGTCCAAGCCCTAGGCTGTCTCAAGGATGCCTCCCAGTGTTGAATGACTTCCAGAGTCCTCCCCCCGCTCTCACTAGGCTCCTTCCACCTGCCTAGTTCATTGTCCCAACAAGATGCTGACTGCCTGTGACAAGGCAGCCAGAAACCATGAAAAGCTGTTAGGAATGTGTGTAAAGGGGCTAACTTGGCAAAGAGACAGCTGCCACTTCCCTGCGCTCTTGGTCAACACAACCCTAGCCCTCATACATGACCGGGCCCATGCTGCCCGGTCCCAAGGTGGCTCTGTCCCTAGGGATCTGAGGCCACGTTTTCCAGAAGCAAAAGGGGCCCTTTCCCAGGCTGTTCTGCTGCAATGGGAGAGCATGAGGGAGCCGTGCATTCACCTCTGAGAGCTGCCTGTGATTCTGAAGGAAGTCCCAAGAACCATGTGACCCAGAAGGGGTCAGAACCTATCCCAGAGTCTTCAGGCCCGCCCTCTGAACAGAAATCACGTAAAGCCAGCCGGTTACAGCACCTACTCCACACCAGGTTTCCACCACGCCTTTTCTCCATGCACACATGTGAGCATGAGCATGAGCGCGCGCGCGCACACACACACACACACGCACACATACTCACACCCCAATTTTCTCTTCCTCCTCAGGCCACAGGGAACCAGAGTTACCTGCTCCTGATATGGATAAGTTAGAATCACAAGCAGGAGCCCTAGTGGCTGAAGGCCAGACACAACCCCCCCCAACTCTTGCTAAGGGGCCAGAGGCTAACACTGCAAGAAGCCAAGTTACAGATACAAGCCCCCACACAAATAGAGGCCAAAAACCACACACAGAATCCTCACTAAGGTCTGTCATCACACTGAGCCCCCTTTCAAAGCGTCGCTGATACTAACTCTTCCCTAAAAGAGACACAAGTCACATACACATTCCCTGTGCCCGGCTCCGCACTAAGTGGGTTAGGGCCTGTAACAAGACAGCCACCTGAAGGAGAAGGACCAGAGTCACAGATACACACCCCAAGGATAAAGACCAGGGTCACTTTCTCTCCCCCCTCCGCTCACCGCCCCCGTGCACAAGGACCACAGCCACAGAGCATTTCCCCGTGGACAGCTAAGTGCCAAAGTAACACAGAGCAGCCAACACCCCCACCCTCTGTGGACAAAAAAGAAAGTCACAGACACGCGCCTTCCCACGGATAAAGTTCGATGGAGTAACCCCCGTAAGCCCCAGGAGCCCGCTCCTACCCGTCTCTCCCTTCCCCCAACCCGCGTGCGCCTAGCCCGTGTTCAAATCGCGCACACGCTTTCACTCTCACGAGGGGTAGAGGACCCCCCCGCTTCCGACCGTGCACGCATCCTTCCCCAGCTCGGAGCGATCCGCCATTGCGCCCGTTCGCCCCCAACCTCCGCCCTGGGTCCCTTACCTCCGCCCCCACGACCAGCGTCGACGCTCACCTTCTCGGCCCGGGCTGTCAAGGGAGGGCTCCCAGGCATCCCCTCGGCCCGCCGCCACCTCTTGCAACTCTCCCAGCTCAGCAAAGGCCGGTGCGCACCACGATCCAGTCCACGGTGGCGGGAGGAAGGGAGGCGCGGGGGAGGGGAGAGGCGCCAGGCGCGCTGCTCTCCCAGGGAAAGTCACTGCCGCCTACTCGCAGCCGGGCCGCAATCACCAGCACAAAATGGCGACGAGGAGAAGGGAGCCGGCGCTCCGACCACCATCCACCTACTAAGGGAGCGCGCTCTGGCCGGCCCTGTCTATTGGTGGCCTCCTTTTTTCGACCAGCCCTAGCCACCTCTGATTGGCAAGAGCATGCCACCTCCTTGTGACCGTCCCACAAGTCCAGAGAAAGAGTAGCTATTGGCCAATCCCTCAAGGCCCGATTTTTAGAAGCGGGGCTTCCTTAGAAGTTGAAAGACAAGAGGAAGCTCCACCTCTTTCCCCAAAGGGCCATCCAGATGTCGCCTCTTTCTTCCTATCAAAGCAATCAGCAGACCTATGAAGACGAAATTCCTCAGCCTGATCGAGAGAATGATTGGTCCCATAAGGCCAGGATACGGAGAAGAAAGAGGGCTCTCACTGGAAACAAATTGCGACTCAGTTTCTTTTCAGCGAGGTGAGGGCAGAGTGACAGGCGCGCTAGGGTCCATTACGGCTGCGCGCAGTTGCATTTCCGTCCCCGCCCCACAGGACCTACGGCGCAACCTGTCATGGCGGCTGGGCTCTTAGGGTTGTGCGCTCGTCGCCTTTTGGCAGCAGCGGCGACGCGTGGGCCCCGGGCTGCCAGCGTTCGCTGGGAATCCAGCTCCTCCAGGGCTGTGGTCACTCCGATCACTGTGGCCAGAAAGCGGGCGCCAGAACCGGCCGCACAATGGCAGGAGGACCCAGAACCCGAGGAAGAAAACTTATATGAGAAGGTGAGAGGGAAGGGGAACGGGGACGTCGGAGGGGTCATTTGGGAACTGGCCGGCGCTGCGCCATAGAGGACGTTTTTGGGCAGCTGACTAAATCTTCGAGGACCTGGGAATGCTGCCTATGTTGGTTTTCAACTTTGTAGCCTGGTAATCTTCGTCCACAGCAAGAGCTGGGATTGGTTTTGTTTTACAGAAGTCAAATCTGAAGTGGATAGCCTCATTAGAAAAAATGTAGTCGTGGCATCACTACACGCTGATAGTTTAGCAGTTCTACTTGCTCGGGACCACCCTTTGTTCTAAGCACTGTGTATATTAACTCATCTAGTCGGCGAAACAACCAATTTTGAGGTCGGGGCTGTTAGTCCCATCCTACAGATAAGAAAACTAAAGCACAGAGATGTTAAATTGCTTGTTCAAGCTCGATGAATAGTATGCGGTAGAACCAGTATTTGAGCCCGGAGTTACTGGGTCTCGAGTGTTGTATTGATAGCAGAGTTTCTGGGGTCAGACAGCTCGTGTGACCTTGGGCAAGTAGCTTAACCACTTGGTACCTCAATATCTTCATAAACTGGTAAAAATAATAACACATCTTAAAAAATAAGATGCACCTGCCTCATGTGTTTAACTGAGTCAAATGCTCAAAGCAGCAGCTGACACTTTGAAAGTACTGCACTCGAATTAGGTGTTTGTTATTGCCACTTTCTGCCTCACTGGGATGTTGTAAAGTTTGTGTATTTGAAAAGGCCCCACACTACTGGTACAATGGCATACACCTGTACTTCCAGTTACTTGGGAGGCTGAGGCAGGAGGATCTCAAGTTCAAGGCAAGCTTAGGCAATTTAGGGAGACCCTGTCTCAAACAGGGCTGGGGATGTAGCCCAGTAGTAGAGTGTCCCTGGGTTCAGTCTGCAAAAGGAAGAAGAAAAAACCCTGATACTTAACCTCTGTTTGAGCGGCTTAGACATACAGGATGCTATAGAATAACTGGATGAAAGTTAACTTGGCTGTAGGGTGGTATTTTATTAGGTTGAGCCATAGGAAATTGCCAATATGCAGCCATTTTTGACCTATTAAAATAGCAGTTTCCTGTGGTTCAACTTAATAGAAAAAATGGCTAGGGAATGCCTGCCTCCTAATGGAATTGTTGAAGCCAAAACCTTCAATGAGGCAATGGAGGCAGTCATGACTGGATCTGGGGGTAAAGGCTTTCTAGGCAGAAGAACAAGTGGGAAGGGTCTTTGGTGGGTAGGAACTTGACACGTCCTAAGAACAGAAGGAGAGGAATTTAACGTAGAAAGAGAGATTGATTTGAGAGATTATTCAGAGCCAGCATGTAGCTTTAAAGAAGCCGGAAGACATCATTGATCTTTTCTTCTCCACAGAACCCAGACTCTCATGGTTTCGATGAGGATCCTGTCATAGATGTCTGGAACATGCGAGTTGTCTTCTTCTTTGGCTTCTCCATTGTTATCGTCTTTGGCACTACCTTTGTGGCTTACATGCCTGACTTTAGGTGCAAGGGGTGTCCCGAGAGGGGTGGATGAAGGCAGAGGCAGGGTGGAAGTTGGAGGGGCCTTTGCTGGAAATTTTGTCCTTTCACCACTGGGGCGTGGGGAGCTGAGGGGCGCAGGTGTTTGGTGACCCTTCCACACATCTGCCCCCCTCTAGGATGCAGGAGTGGGCCCGCCGAGAAGCCGAGAGGCTTGTGAAATACCGAGAGGCCAATGGGCTCCCCATCATGGAATCCAACTGCTTCGACCCCAGCAAGATCCAGCTGCCAGATGATGACTGACCAGTGTGGACCTCAAAAAGAGCCACCTTCTCCACTCCCTGCCTGCCATTCTGCCCTCTCCTCAGGGCACATAATTAAAGGGATTGAACAATCCGACCGGCTCCTGTTGCTTTTCTTAAGGGAACATGGAGATGGGAATGTCACAAACCTTAAAAGCCTTTGCAGCCTTTCCTGGGTGTTTTATCTGTTGCTGCGTCACAAACACCCAAAAGCTTAGTGACTTAAAATCACAAAGTAGTATTCCCTTTCATAGTCCTGTGGGCCACATGATCCCAGCTGGGTCACTCTTCTTGAGGTCTGAGTTGATTGCACTTAGATGGTGGCTGGGGCTAGTCATCTGAAGTGCAGATGGGCTGGATATCCCAGGCAGATTCTCCACCCACACGTCTGGCACTTCCGCCCTCTCCCACTGGCCTCCCTGCCTCAGAATAGCCCAGGCTTCTTATAGGGTAGTCCAGGGCCCCTCTGTATGAGGGAGCAGTTATGGGAAAAACTGATGGCATCTGCCTTTAGAAACAAGCTACCGTGCTGGGACCCTCTGACATTTGAAGACAGCCCGGCTACCAAAAGCCTGGGGGTGGTCTGTGAGAGCAGGGCTTTTCCATTGCTGAAGATGAGTGTTTGTGGTCCCCCCACCCATTTTTCTCTGGGCTTTGGGGCTTCTGCCTCTGGTGTCTCAGTGAGTCTGGATACTTCTGTCATCCCTTCTGCCCCAAATCTGGGCGGCCTCTAACACACATCTCAGCATAGGATGTAGCTCAGTACTGAGTGCTTCCTAGCATGTGAGGCCCTGGCTTCCACCCCTAGCACAGTGGGGTGTGTGTGTGTGTGTGAGAGAGAGAGAGAAGTCACATGAACAAACCCAGGAAGTTCCTTTCCTGTCTTCCCTGTACCCTCAGCCTCACACACTCTCCAAGAAGATGCCCACACCATGTGGACATCCAAACTGTGAACCAAAATAAATCTTTTTCTTTACCCAGTGTTCAGTAACCACCACAGAAAACACTAAGAAAGTGATTTATGACATACATAAATGCATACATATTTCTGTTCAGTATAAACCTAGGAGTGAAGTTGCTGGGTCATGGTATGAGTATGAGCAACTGTGGATTGTCTATTATAACATTTTATATCCAGCACTGTTCGATACAGCTGTTCTAACTTGTTTTAAATTTGCATTTTCCTGATAACTAATGGAGTTTAGCATCTTAGATACTTACGGATTATTTGTACATTTTTTTATCAAGTATCAGAGCATCTTGTCTAATTTACTATTAGATTTTTTTTGTCTTAAAATTTTCATTTGTAGGAGGGCCAGGTGTGGTGGCACATATCTATAATCCCAACACTTGGGAGGCTGAGGCAAGAAGATTGCCATGAGTTTGAGGCCAGACTGGACATGGCAAGACCTTGTCTCAAGACAAAAAAAAAAAGATCAAAAATTGATTCATAGGAATTTAAAATACTTTCTGAGTATGAAAATGTCTCACATTTTAGCTATATAGATTGCCAATATTTTATCCCAAACTACCTTTTGATAAATAAAGATTCATAATTTTAATACAACTTGTGATAATTAACTATTGTTATCAGTTTGAACAATAAACACCAACTCATTGGCTTAGCACAGTTCTGGGTGTGACCAAATGGTTTTACTAAAGATGGAAGACTCACCCTGGGTCTTGTCACCTGAATGGAATAAAGAAGGAAGGCTCACCTCTATTTCTTAGGAGGAGCTCCAGTCTTCACCTTCACTTTGGATGTCAACTCCAGACGCTTTGGCTTCCTGATAGGGACTCACACAGGGTTCTACAGTGAACTTCAGGCCTTCAATATTTGACTGGATCCTTTGGATCTCCAGCACACAGACAGCCCTTTTGCACTCTGTCACCTGACTCCGCAGGCCGCTATTGTGAACCTACCTTGTAAATCCATATACAGTATATCTATATATCTATCTTATATTAATCTGTTTCTCTAGTGAGCACTGACTGATACACAACCCAAAGAATTTCTTTTGTGGTTAGTGCTTTTTGGGTTTAATTTGAGAAATCTTTTTCTGCCCAAAAGTCATTAATATATTCTATATGGTTTACTAGAAACTTTATCATTTAGATTTTTCACATATGTATTTATAATTGAGGGGGAACTTATTTTTATGTATAGTATGAAGTAGGGATCAAAATTTTTTTCTATATGGTTAGGTAATCAGGCCTCTATGTTACTGCAAAAACCATTCATTCTTATTGCTGGGTGTGGTGGCACATGCGTGTAATCCCAGGACGCTGGAGGCTGAGGCAGGATGATTGCTGTAAGTTCAAGACCACCCTGGGCTACATAGTAAATTCCAGGTCAGTCTCAACTGCATAGTGAGACCCTGTCTCAAAAAGCCAAAAACAAAAGAACCATTCATTCTTCATTGCTCTTTATTGCCACCTGTATGGCAAGTGTTTATACTTTGTATTAAAATTTGTTTCTTTTTCTTTCTAGTACCTGGGATCAAACTCAGGACCTTGCCCTGGAGAGGCAGGCACCCATAGCACCACTGAGCTGAATCTGCAGCCATTCTCTTTCTGGATACTCTATTAAAACAAATAGGCCAACTAAGACCACCTGCCTGTTTTTGTAAGTCAGTTGTCTTAGAGCCCGGACATGACCATCTATTTTTTGTCACTTTCTGCTCTAGAGTCTCGAATCACGACTTCCATTTTGCTCACTATCTCTATGGTTATCTGGGAAATTATTTCTGTTTTGAATTTTTGTAGAGCCTGATTGATCTGTTTTGTTACTTCCTGTGCTTTGAGTTCAGGGTGTCCTGGTGGTTCACTATCAGCCTTTTCATCCTCATTTGCCCTACTGTTTGCCATTGGTGAACTGGAAGTCTGTCCTGGTGTCTTGCTTAAATGTTTTCTCATTTTTTTTTTTTTTGTTGTCGGACTGTCCTTGGTTTAATCTCTGGGTTATCACCCAAATCTTCCTGATATAGTTCCGCCCTAGCTTCTGTGTCTCTAACGACCCACGGACATTCTCATCTTCAAAACATCAGAGAAAACAGCTCATCAAATCAACTGCAATGCTTTACCCCAACTGATACAATCAGCAACACATTAAGATCAAGCACAACTTGGACACTGACCACCTGTGGTAGTCACTAGTCTATCACCCTTAAATCATTTGAATTAAATTGAAATCAAGAAGCAGTCCAGAACATGTCTGCAGTGAACACAATTTCAATATAGTGTATTTACCATTTAATGTCTCAGACAGAGCGAGGATGCAAGACCCCTGATCTCACTTAGCTGATGGCTGAACCCCCTGACGCTGACTGACCTCGGGCTGCAAGGCCCAGATTGAGTTCCTCATCCTTCTGAATGGTTGAATTCCACACCGTTCTATTACAGGTTTCCCACGCCCTTTCTTTAAAGATGTTCAAAGTTGGGAACAAAGAAAAATACCCTTGATGACCACCTCTGTCTTTGCAGAGTGTGTCCAAAGACTGGCACAGTCAGGAAGTCAGAGAGTGCGGCGGGGGGAGGGCTTATACCTTCCCGGTGCTTGAGCGATGGCGGCTGGGTCGGGAGGTGGCGTGGTTCTCCTTCCCGCGGTGGATCGGGGCCCAGCCTACCTCCCGGCGCTTGAGCGATGGCGGCTGGGTTGGGAGCAGGCGTGGTTCTCCTTCCTGCGGTGGATCGAGGCCCAGGCTTCCTTCCGGTGCTTGAGCGATGGCGGCTCCTGGCGCTTGAGTGATGGCTGCTGGCTGTTCTGTTATTTTTTATCCTTAAATTGTTCTTGCATGGATGCTGCACTTTTTTTGGGGGGGTACCAGGGGTAGAACTCAGGATCTTGGTGCTTGTGAGGCAGGCATCGGAACCACTGAGCTAAATCCTTGGCCTCAATGCTGTACTTTCTTAATTGCTGACGCTTTATAACTGAACTTAATTCTTTTGGGGGGGGTTTGCTTTGGGGGTTTGTTTTTTGTTTTTGTTTTTGAGACAGGGTCTCACTATTGTAGCTCAGGCTGCTCTGGAATTCACTATATAGCCCAGGCTAGCCTTTTTTTTTTTTTTTTGAAGACAAGGTCTCACTATGTAGTTGAGACTGACCTGGAACTCACTTTGTAGCCCAGGCTGGTCTCCAACTCACAGCGATCCTTCTGCCTCATCCTCCCAAGTGCTGGGATTACGGGCGTGCACCACCACGCCCAGCTAAACCCAGGCTGGCCTTGAATTTGCAGTTATCCTCCTGCCTCAGCCTCCTGAGTACTGGAATTACAGGCATGCATCACCACACTCAGCTGAGCTTGATTCTTGGTAGACTAAACTTTCTAATTTTAGTCTTCAAGATTGTTTTGGCTTTTTTTGTGGCTCTGGGTATTGAACCCATGGCTTTGACATTGACCTACATCCCCAGCCCTTTTTTATTTTTAATTTTGAGGCAGTGTCTCACTAATTTGCCTAGGTGAGACTTGAACTTGAGATCTTTCTGCCTCACCCTTCCTTAGTGCTGGGGTTACAAGTGTGCACCACCATGTCTGGCTTGCTTTGGCTATTTTTTGGTCTATGTTCGTACACACAAATTTCATTCAGACATATTTAAAAATGCCTTTATGCAAATTTCATTAAAATTTAATAACTTGTTTTATACAGTACTTAATATGTAATGTAAGTCTTTTCTTAAATATTCTTCTGTAACATTTAAAAAACTACAGTGAGCCTACTTTGATCTGGTTTTGAATTCCTTTTAAGCACAAACGCTTTTTTTTGTGTCCAGTTTCTTTCATTCAGGGCAATGTTTGTGAGACTGATATGCATTGCTGTATATATTAGTTTGTTCATCCTCCTTGCTGTACTTATTTAATTGTGTAGACATCATTGAAATGTTGCTGGGCATTTTAGTAGGTTCATTTTGGGGGCTGTTGAATCATTCTGTGAGCCTTTAAAAAAATGTTGTGGTGCTGGTAGTGGAACCCAAGGCCTCTTACCTGAGCTGCACTCCTCAGCTCTCTGAACAATCCTGTAAGTACTGAGGATTGAACCCAGGGTCTCAGGTATGCTAGGCAAGCTCTCTATCACCAAGTATATCCCAGCCTTGTGCACATATTTTGATGGACATATACATTCATTTGTCTTGGGCATATATGTAGGAATTAAAATGGCTAAGTCACGGGGTAGACATGTGATCACCATGTCATACCATCCTAGTGAGTGACTGACTCTTTGAGGGGCTGGGGATGTAGCTCAGTGGCACCATGCCTGCCTAGAAAGTGCAAGGATCCCTGGTACCACCAGGAAAACAAAAATTTTTTTGAGACAGTCTCACTGAATTGCCTAGAATGGCCTTGAACTTCCAATTCTCCTGCCTCAGCCTCCCAAGTAGCTGGGATTACAAATATACAGCACTGTGCCAGTTAAACAGAGTACTTGTTTTTCTGTCTTTTTGAAACTGGGTCTCAAAAAGCCTGGCTTTTTATTAACTATGTAGTACAGGCTGGCCTAGAACTTTCAGCGATCTTCCTCCCTCAGCCTCCCAAGTGCAGAGATTACAGGTGTGTGCCACCATGCCCAGCAAAACAGAGCATTTTTTTATGCACAAGGCCCAGTGAGCAAGACAGACAAAGTTCTTGAAGCAGGCACGGTCATTTCTCTGCTCTGCTCATTTATTCATCCATACCGCAGACATATATATATAGCAAGGGCCTATGTGTGACAGAGGATATAGGAGTGGATGAAACCCTGTCTCAAAAAGACAAAAAATAAAATAAAATAAATAACAATTTAGAGTAATGATAATTACTAGATGAAAATTCTGATACCTATAGATGTTAAAAAGAAGAAGCAGAAGGAGCTGGAAATTTAGCTCAGTGGTTCCACTGCCTGCCTCGAAAGCACAACGTCCTGAGTTCGATCCCTGGTAC